ACTGTGATTATAGTGGAGTCACGTGAAAGCCACTGTAGTCTCTAAGACTAAAAAAAAAAAAAAAAAAAAAAGGCTTCCACTGAAGAAGACATTGAAAGTAGTTGTAATAACTAATTTTTTACTACAAGTATTGTTATTTGTAATAGCAAAATACCTCAAGGCAAGAGCTGAGGTTAGAGTCCTTTGTGCCAAAAACATTAGAAAAAGTAGAATTCTCTAAAACTAGGAAAAAGTCAGGGCAGAGTAGGAAAATATTGTTCATAGGCACCAAGATGGTACCGAGCATCAAATGAAACTGGCAGATACCAGACTCAACATAAATAAAAGCTGATACTTCTTCAGATGTGTCACATGCCACAAGTCACTGGAAGCTGGAGGACCACTATTAAGAGGTACCAACATACAGCTGCGCCATTGTGCTCCATACTGCACAGCTTGGGCCACTCCCTGCTGCTGGAGACACAATACTGTGCTGGAGGGAGCTCCAGCCTCGCCACATGCAGCTGCTGTTATGCTTTCAGTAGAAACTGGCACACAATTATTACCTCAGATGACTTGTATTGGCAATATGTGAGACAGGCAAAATGGGAGAGGGATAAAAAGTTATTGTTATCTCCATGTTTATTAAGGGAAAATTGAGCAAGAGGCTGTTATGTGACCTGTTCAGTGTCACCCAAGCAATCAGTATCAGAGCTAGGAGCTGAGATGGGATCTGGGATCCCGTTTAGTGCCTGAATTAGAGGGTCATGCTTTCTCCTCCGTTAGCCACCAAAAATCTATGAAGTGAAAACAGAATTGAAGGCATTGAGTTGTCAGGCTCAGAAGTATCTGTTTTTCCATGGAAACCTCTTCCCAGTGACAGCTAAGCTTTTGCAAGGGGAGAAGCACTTCTCATCATGCCAGAGCTGTCAGGGAGCTGTACTGTGCAAAGTGCTGTACCTGTGCAGCTGCCTTCTGGAGAGGTCTCGTCCTGCAGCCAGGCAGCATGCAGCCCCCATTCCTGACAGTTCAGCTATAATTTTGCCTGCTCGGTAATTTTTCACCATGGTCATGCCAGAATCACAGCCTTGTTTCTGTTGTCTGGCTGTTAGTGGTGATGCATGAATAAGCAAGAAAGACAGCTTCATTTTCATAAGCTGACTTGTGCCTGGAGTAACAGAGATTGAGAGGAGTGCACTTAATCATAACTGCAGGGCCAGAGCAGAAAACAATGACAGAGCTTTAGCTGTTAGTGATGGTATTTTATTATAATAACTCTTAGAAAGAAGAACAGGCAGCTCAGAATGCTGAATGATTCAAATTCATTGTGGTAGCCACCGTGTTCTCATCTTCTGAAAGGATAACTCACATATAACTGTTTTATGCTTGCCTTTTACAAAAAAGCCATGGTGGAAGGGAAGTCTAGTCTTTCTCCTCAGAAAATCTGAATTCAGATTGTGGTATGCTCAGAGGTGAAATGAAGCTCATGAAAGTTTCCACAGAAATGCAGGCACCTTTCAGGAAAGGCATGAAGGGTGGCAGAGGGACAGGTTAGAGCTGATGGATGGTCAGAGAACTGCGGGCAGAGGGAGCGTTCATTATGCCTGCTCAACACCATGCATTGCTTTGGCCAGTACCTCATTTCTATAACTTCATAATTCATTTGAAAAAGTAAATAACTAAATGAAATAACTGATAATGCTTAGATACACTGGACAGATACTCTCACAGTGACTCATTAATATAAAAAAATTTTGATGAAAGCTTTGGGTGAAACATTTTTAGTTTCAAAACTGGAAGGGCAAAATTTAGGATTTTATTTTGTTTGAACTTTTAGATACACAGAATAATGTGGTCTATATGGTATATATTATGCCTCTGTGTTATGTGTCACATTGTTTGCTGTTATTTAAAATGATGAGGATTGTACATTTAGATGTGATTATTTTGATATCTTCAGATCAAAATATTTGGGGATTTTTTCCCAGAGAATATTTCTGAAATTCTTTTTTCTGTACTAATTCAGAATGAAAACATTTTTTGGAACCATTAATATTTGCTATGCAGGTGAAGTTCTGGTTTCCTGATCACTTCTGCCCTAAGTCAAGATCACAGGGACAATGTAAAGGGAAATAAAAATACATTCTTCTTTGGCAGAGACAGCAACACTATTCCAGCCTAGAGAAAGCAGAAATATAACTAGAGAAGACACAAAACATATCTTCATAACTTTCTCCAATATGGCTTGGGAGACAAGCCATCACATCTGCCTGGTAGGTTTTTAGTCACCAGCAAGAGTTATCACAGCCTGACAAGTTGCTTAATGCTGTACCCCAGGACAGTACGTGAACACATGCACATTCCCAGGCCATTGAAAAAGCAAACTAAAGTATGTTAGCTAACACATTTTACTTTGTATTTGTGACAAGCTAAAAGGACATATACAGGCAGTTATTCCAGCTCAGTTGACATACAGTAAGTCACATTATCTGATCCATATTTCTAAGCCCTAAAGTTTATATGATGTTAATTTCTGCCTTCATCCATGTCCTGTATCAAGCCTCAAGGTATACTGGTGAAAGCAGGATTTGTTCTGGTGTCTTCAAAGGTAAAGGGAAAAAGGGGAAGGAAGTGATACAGCTACAATAAATACATGTGAACATAATTTCCTGAGCCCTTTCAGTTTATCTTAGCATGAGAAATAATAACTGAGAAGTAAGTATTTCAGGGGTACATTATCAGAACTGAGATTTTGGACTGGTAGGTGGGAAAGGAAAACCATTAACAGGCAGCAAGGTTTGTTCAGTTTTTGTTATTCATCATTTCAAAGGCTGAACTCTGTGGCATGTTGGGAAATGCATGGGGCTAAAATAATGGAAGCAGATTGATGCTTCATGGTAAGGAAGTTCAGTATCTGCTTCTTGCAAATGGAATTTTAACATTTCTTTTGATGTTAGCAGTACTATCCTGAGAAGGATCTGTGGACTGCTGAGTTGTGAAACGCGCTGTTAGAATATGGGCAGGGTCACTCTCATCCTACCAGCTGTGCCAGTTCATTCCAGCCCAGCTGCACCTGCATTTTTTTATTGGATTTTTTCCTCATCCTTTACTAACCATGGTAGTTTCTTAGTTTGGTTTATTCTGCCTCAACTGTAAGGGAGTGGTTATAAAGACCAGGCAGTCTTCCAATGCAGAATCAACAAGTGTTGTTTTCAGTTGTGCCCTTCAGCCTTTTTTGGCTAAGGCTTGTTTTAGCCAGTTGGGTTCTTGTTCATATTTCCTGACAGTATATGGCTTGTGATGCCTCATGTGCTGTCTAGTGTGTTCCACGTGTCTCACAGGTTGAGAGATGCTACATTTCATTTGCATGAACAAATCATCAGTTGCTTAGGATGCATCTGCTTCTAATTTGTAATTTCTTTCATTCTCTTGTGCATTGCACTCTGTTAATATTACCAGTTTTCAGTAGTACCAACGAGGTGACAAATTCATGGTGGTCTTTTATATGACCTTTCCACTCTCCCCTAGATTTTCCACCTTCTTGAAAAATGAGTTGATGGAGTATAATGTGAAATATTATATATGTTTCATCTATAATATATAATGGAAAAGAAGAGACATCATTAGAAAATGAGGTCTAATGAAGACTGGCATGTTGTGATGAGGATAGAGTAGAATGATCCTGAACAGTGTTGTGGAGTGGACTTGGTAATTTCTCAAGGTTATTTCTAGATTGATTTTCATTCACTACTTGAATGCTTTCATAATGTTCTGATTTGTTATATGCGTTGGCCACTCACTGCTGCTCACACTCTGAAAGAGCATTTGACACACATGTGGGAGTTACTGGCATTCCACTGAATTAGAGATACCGCGGGAGAGTATCATAATCACCTGACCTAACATCTTCCTAGCCGATTATAAAATTGAATTAATCACTTCTGTCTTTATGTCTTGCTTCTAGCCCAACATGGGCTATACTGAAATTTTAGTAATACAGCTATGGTCCTGCAAAAGCAACATATAATGATCATTGCACTGCTGTGCAAACATCGAGTTTTGTGAGCATAGCTCGGATTTGAAAATATGCCTTCAGAGCATGATGCTTAATTGCTTTCTCAGAAGGTTTCAAAATCATTTCCAATCCCAGCCTTAGTGCCCTCACTGAGCGGGTCCTTCTGTTAAAACACCATTCCCTTTCCTTTCCTTGACTAGATCCAAATGCAGTTTTCCCCTTCCCTCCATCCTCCATTACCAGAGCATCATTTCAATCACTTCTCTTATTTACATTTTATACAGCACATTTCAGGATAGATAATTAAGTCCTTATCTATACAAACATTCACTTTTCAGTTGATTTTTAAGCAGTGCAAACCTTCTAGACACATTTCATTTAAAACACGTTTTACTCTAGCTGAAGCCAGCTGCTAATCAATGTAAGTTAAACCAAAATAAGCCCATCTAAAACTGAAATCATAATTTCTATGCAGCGTTCCACACAGACTTAACTAAATGACTTTTACTCTCTTAAATTAAAACAGTGCAACTTTCTTATGTAGGTAAACTCTTAGAATCCAATATTTTCTTGAGCAAAAGGGATTTCCTTTGTGACTGAGAAAAAAATCCCTGAAACTAGTGGGGGGGAGCATGGGAAGCGAATAATTTGTTATATTGAGTCTTGTTCTTCAATTATATTATCTCCATCAGAGTATGAACAGATCTTCGTATTAGATGATCATTTTACCAACACTTACTTCTCACTAGGAGGATTCTTTATCATTGTATTCCAAAATCAAGCAGCATTCAGATTTGTCTGGGTGATATATTTTTGTCAGCATGACAAAGGTTCCCACAGTGTTTAATTACTCAGACTAGCCAGGGGAGAAGGAAAGAAATGAGCCGTGCTGAGTTTGCTGTGCCAGGCTTGCTGTCTGTTACATAAGGAGGCATCTTCTGAATGCGTGAAGGGAAGGCAGCACCCGAACTTCTGTCTTCTCTTTCTCCTGGCTCTCCCTCTCCAGATTTCTTGTTTGTTTTCCATTGATTGACTGTCCTTTGTCTCATGATGTTTTTGCAATTTGCTCATTTCCAGGGCAGCAGGTTCTTGGCTTAGTGGAGAACCAAAGTGATTGGTATTTGGGAAACCTTTGGAAGAATCATCGGCCGTGGCCAGCGCTTGGGAGGGGCTACAACACAGGTAGGCCCTGAGGGTTTTCTTTGAATTAACGTTTGCAGTGAGCATGCAGTCAGTCCCCTAGTATAGAGAGTATGAGATGTGGTAACTTGCACCTGCCTTCCTAACCTGCTGCAAAAATTGTCATTTAAATCAGCAAAAATGACGCAGAATGATGCATTTTGGAGTTTCTGGTCCTGTGCTACTCTGAGGAGGATATGTTCCTTCTCTAAATGGTTTTAAGAGAGATTGTATGGCATCCTTTGGGGAAGGACAGAGCTTTTCAGCAGTCTGACACATCCTCAGCTCATCTCCTACTAGATTTCTGTCCATGATGAAGCATATGTAGGCCAAGCAAAATGGAAAGAGTAGGAATCAAGGCACAGTTTCTGGAGAGAGGTAAACGATATCACAAAATGTCAGCCCAATAAAGATTAAACTCCTGCAGGACAACAACAGGATCATAACTGTCCTAATAAAATGCAAACTACTAGCCATCAATTTCTGCTGCCTTGAGAGAGGAATAAAGGCACTAGATGGGAGAATTTATTAGGTTACAAGAGACAGGTCTTCTCACTGATTTGTGTGTCGTATGTGAGAAAACATACCAGATGCGTAAAGAACACACACATACATCTAAATCATTTCAATGCTAGTCTTTACACACTGATGCAGTGAGTTAAGTTCCCTCTCTATTTGTAATAAAAGGACAGAACAGATGGTGAAGCCTCCATTTAGAAAAGATGAGTCCATTTAAATATCCCTGCACTATCAGGAAATTATTCACCATAATAGTGGTTTTGCTTCGCAGAAATATATTGGATTGGATGAAACAGACTAACTAGAAAAAGGATTGCACAAGTTGTGGTTGGGTCATCTGTATTTCTATATTCCTTTGTATGTGTGACGGAATCACTCCAGCTTTTGTGAATTTGTATCTCAGCCTCTGCAAAGCATCTCTGTTCTGTGAAAAAGTTTGAAAGAATAGCCTTGTAACAGAACACAGATAGATATGGATACAAAATTTTGCAAAAGAGGTTTGTTGCCTGTTGTTTCTCCAGGGCAGATTTACATACACAAAGGCTTGGGCTGTCCGACTTTCCATGCCACACCCCCAAAAGCATGAGACAGAGCTAAGTTTCATGGATTTGTCCTGAAATCTGAAAGCTTGTTGATATCAATTCTGTTCAGTGTTACAACACAAAGCAGTATCTTTTGTTCTATGAGAGATGACCACCTTTTATAGTTTCTTTCTGCTGCATTTTTGCTTTTTCATTTCTGCCATTTTGATGCTGGCAGAGAGAAATGTGTCACAACTACATAACATTAGAATAACCCAGAAACGTATGGTAGGTAGTACCTAAAATGCAATTACGTAAATAAAAATGCTGTAAAGCTTTAACATATATAGTCTTAACTTACTGTTCCAAATGTTTTACAGGGATACCAAATGTCCGTACGTCACAAAATTCTTCCACTGAAAATAACTGAATGTCTGCAGTCCTTCACATACATTGCATGTGTTAATTCTTGGTATGTGTTAACACATACCAACCAGGCCATGCATAATCCTGCCCGTGATTTTAGACCGCTCACAATTTCTTTTTTCAGACAACTCACCTGTAGTTATAAAAACTTTCTTTTTTTTTTAGAAAGAAAACCAGAAGGTAGATAATGAATGGAAGATTGACAAGTGATCATACGAAGTTGAATGATGTTTTTTCAAGTACCTGGAACAAGAGGTCACTGAGTGAAACGGTGCAACCTCTGAGAAGTAGCAAACGATGTTATTGACAGAATCAGCATCATTTACTATCATTTTCTTAATTGAATTCATTGTTTGCCTCAGTAATCTAGCAGAGATTGAAGGTATAAATCTCTCAAGGAAGATGATATACCAAGTGAAACTGGAGCTTGTTTGATGTGTTCAGTAAATTAAAATAATTGACACTGAATGCAACACTGTGGCCAAGGAGGATTCAGAAAGCTACAGGCAGGAGGGGGCAGGAAAGCGAGGCAATAACTCTCAGCAAAACACTCAGGAAAGACAGTGGGCCAGGAAAGGGAAAACTTAGAAATTGCTTAGGGTAGTATGTAGGAGCAGTAAAAGGGCGCCCAAAACCCCGAAGCTTTAATGAGCTAAACAAAACTGGATGAGGGGGAAGCTCTCAGACAGACTTCGCTCTTGCTCTTGGGAGAGTGTTTACTACAGTTCTAGGGTACAATCCTATGAAAAGAGATTTTTATGTGAGCCTCTTCAGCCAGACCCAACCCTGGCCAGAACCAACCCTGTCAGATTTGATGCAGAAGCACCCCTCAAAGTCAAAGTTCTTCCACTGCTTCATTACAATTTCTGAAGCAAATAATTCATTTTTCACTCCTACGTCTCTGTGTCTGAGCCACTCTGGACAACATACAGGTTGGGGGAGTCCCAGAAGGTAGATACATTAAAACCAAAGGTGTATTTGTTCCTTCTCCGCTAGCTCTTTAAACCCAGTAAGCATGTGTGTTCTCCTGTTCCTGTGTGCCCAGGCCAAATCTCCTGACAGTCAATACAGATTTTTCAAGGAAAGATTTTATTTGGTTGTTTTTCGTCCTTCTTCCTCATTTGCACAGGCAGATAATACAAGTCACACTTTATTCCATGATAATATAATCTTACAAAAACCAGACTAAACTCAAAAGTCAGTTCAGTGACAATTTAATTGATGTTTAAAAGGTTCTCACTTAGAACCATTCTTTATTTGAGATAACATTCCCTTTCTTGAGCCACTGTAAACACAGTTCCTTCCGTACCACAAAGGTACCCAGTTTTTTTCTGTACCTCATTGTCTGAAACTCAGTAAGTTGCTTAATCAAATACTTTTTAATGTATCATCCACTCCATTTTAATTGTCAACACTGAGATTAAGTCTTACAGACTCCCCATACATTAGTTAAAGCACAGTTTTCTCTCTGTATAATCTGTATTGTCTTTTACTGACTAAACTGTGCTTTCGAAAATATTGCCTGAGCCACGCTGTGATTTTTCTCTTTACAGATGTTAAACTGATAGCTCCAGAATTGCACCGTATGGTTTGATGTTCATTTCTGGAATAACAGTCATCTTAGTCCTCAGAAAAATATCTTGTCAAAGAAATTCTAAACATCAAAGCTTTTAGTGCTTTGTCTGCCTCCATCATGGTGGAGAATAGCTTTTAAAAGCAGCTTCTAGTGACTGTTATCATGATTTCAGGCCACTTCCTCAGCTGGTGTGAATCACCCCTGGCTTCTCTGTCTTTAGTGCAGCAGGGCCAACTTCCATCAGCTGAGAATGGGCTCCCTGCTTTTCAAATGGAGCTTTAGGATGGATCTGTGCCTGTAATTTGGGTGCCAGGGAGGCATTCATAAAAACTTTGGCCCAGGGTATTTCAGACTTCTAGACTACAGAAGCCCATCCTGAGGATTTGAGGCTCATCTGAAATATACTGCCTCAGTGCAGCTACTAGATCCTGTAAGGAGATGTCTCAACAGCTTGAGCTGAGGATTCATACTCCCACACTGAGAGATGTCACGTTACCAGATTTGTGGATTGAGAACAGAAGGGAATGGCTAGCACCTAACAATTACCAGGCTATGTGTGCACTGTGCGTTATTACTCCCATGTTTGTAATGGAAGAATGCTAGAATGATTCTCTTTCCTTTATTGTTTTTGTGAAAAAAAAAAGGTCTTATGGAAGATGAATTGGAAGTGGGAAGCATGTTATGTCGTTTTTGCATAATATTTAACAATTGTGACAAGCGTAGGGCAGACTGTTTTTATGAAGTTAGGCTGGATCACATCTTGTGCTTCTTCACGATGATGCTGTGCATCTTCAGTGCAGAAAGCAAATGACTAGTAAAGCAGTGCAAAATGGGGTGGTGGTGTTCATGGAACCACCTGTGATCCTGCTCCGGAAACACGATAACTGCTTTCGTCTGAGCTCCACAGGCTTCTGCTCACAATGTTATGATAATGGATCTGATGTTAGGGAGTGATTAGCACTTTTAATTTAATCAGACATTTCTGTTTTTCAGAAATCCTCACAATTAATGCCTTAAATAGTTATTGTTAACTACTTCTGGATAGGTCTGTTACCAAAATGCCTTTTTTTCACCCGGAAGAGTCAGAATTCCATGACAGCCATCTGAACATAGCACTAATTTACAAACTATATTCCATAGTTTCTGGCTAAAACTAGTGCTTTTCTCCATGGTGTAAACAAAGGAGTATAGTGGTTTCTTGAGACAGGAGACTATTCTGAATTGTCTCACTGAATGAAGAAGCCAGAAAAATTATGGTTTATAGAACCTTTAAATACCCACCATTGGGGCCCGACTCAGTTTAGCTGTGTCCTCTCTAAAAGCCATTGCAATATTCCTACCTCCCATTATGTAAAACATTTGTCACGTTTGGTACAGGAACTGGTATCATTAGGTTTGGTTATAAGTACAGGAGGCTTTGCAAATAGATGAAAAATATATTTTAGTAGTATTGGACTTCATTTTTTTTTTTTTATCAGTGTCAAGGCAAAAAGTAGCACTTTTGTCACCTACTCAGATTCACACTGTACCAGATTTTTGGATTAGATTATTCCTTCTTTAAGATACTGTGAGTTCATTCAGCAAATATTGTTATCAGTACAAAGCATACTGATACACATGTGCTTTATAACGCACAAAGATGCATTTGAAGTACAGTTATCATGCACATTGTACAGGTAGTACTTTAGGAAGTGCCAACACATTGTCGCTTTTAGGCTCAACAGGAAATGTCAGTCTGTTTGTGTCAATGCTGGGAAGCTAAAATGGTACTTCTGCTTCTGATGACCACATCCCTATCTTTGTTGGCTCTAATCTGTAGCTTACGCTTAAGAATAAGCTATCTTAAAGCTGACTACCCTCAAAGAATAGCTTCCTTTCCAGTCTTTCTCATGCAGTTTCTAAACCCTGTGGTGTACTGAGAATTTGTTTACAGCATGCTTGACACTTCTGAAATGAGGGTC